TATGGCGGGAAGCGCTTACTGCGCAACCTTTGCTGCAGGCAAAAAACGATGCAATTGAACCCAGGTTTGTGTTTAATAAACCCTACAAAATACAAATCAAACACAACATAGAGTCAGGTGATACAAATACGCTAACATACAAACCATCAGCAATATCAACAATGAACCTCTGATCACCTTTTCGCACATCTGTAGAAAAAATAATTTCCATATATTCATGTATACCTACCGCCTAGGCATAGATATTTTAAATAATTACGAGTAGAACAATGTTTTTTTGAAATTAACCGCTGAATATAGTGTGTTCAAGGTACATTTTTTGTATCCCGAAGTAACATGATACCTACGTTATCTATTTTTCAATTCAACGAAATTTAGTTCTTTTTATTGACTCTTAGTTTCCCATTAAAATTAGAGATCGTTCTTCAGCAGGTTTACAGTACTACAGATGTCCTACTGATGAAAAGTATATATGTATATATGTGTATATATGTATTTTAGCTAATGTAAGTGTAAATAAGGATATATCTAGGGTTGAATATGAATGTTGTATTTTTATTATTTTATTAGCTTTCTTTAAGTGATTTTAACTTTGATTGTAATTTTCACAGTCACACACAAACTGGAAACAGTTTATGTGACTTCTTAGTTTATTAACTTAACTTGTTTTTACTATGTCTATATTCTATATTTTATATTGTACCTGAAGTTAATAAATAATAATAATAATAATACTGTACAACTGAAGTCAACTCTATTTCACTGTCACACTGACAATATAACACAAACATTTCAACTGAAACTTCAGACTAATCTCAAATATCTATCACCTTATTAGATCACTTCGTACCGCACTTTCAACTAGACTCCTCGATCTGCTTGGTAATAGTGTTTGTATATCGTAATGGGAGTCTCTGACAGCCGATAGAGAAGTCCCTGGAAGTTTCTCAAAGCGACGCGACTTCTAGAATGATTGCGAAGTGCAAATCGTGTTGAGCGCCAGCCACAATCGGGTTGGCCAAACCACAATCGATTGACAACGATCAGCGGCGGCCAGCGTCATTTTTTTCAGGGGATGGTTTACAACAATATATAAAAATATCAAATATGACAGATTACTGATACATAGCATTTTCTCCAGTGATAAATTTCATTTGGTGTACGCAGTATCTGATCTGGGGTGAACTGCAAGTTTGTTGAATTAAAAAGGTTACTAAAAATACTAAAAAACTTTCTAATAAAAATCATTTTTCTTTCTTATGTTTTCACGACATAATGCAATAATAGGTTGATGGACCACAGTCCCAATCTTTCATTGTATCTCCAGGGCGTTATTATCTGACGCTTTATTCACGGAAGTGCGATTCATAAATAATATGCCCTTCAATCTAATGCGGATTCGCAGTGTGCAAAAAGCTCGTGGAAACGAGTCAGAGTCCATCCAAAGCCACGTTTATGGTGCCATTCAGGGCACGATGTTTAATTTAATCCCTTTATAAAGCACATTAAAACGGGACGAGGGACCCCACTTTCGTTGCGATGTAATGTTGCCCCGTTGCTCATGAAAGTTTGATTACAAAGTCGAAATAGCCATTATTTGTATATTTTTACTCGCGGAAGAAGTGTTAGAATGCTGCTTGAAGTTTTGTAAACTTCACGGTTCATAGCGTAGTAAGATAATGTGTAAATTTCAGTTAACTTCTCTGCAGAGGTGTTATGTTATCATAAAAAAGAGCTACCCAACCTAGCGGTTTTTTCCATTATCCCAAAGTTCGTGAAAAAAGCCATCCACTCAAAGAAAATGTAGGAGACATAATACTCGATCGATAATATGGCTTTGGCAGTCATTATTTGAGGAGAAGATTGAACGAATAACATTCTATAAAGATGAAGTTATACAGTACTCCTCAAAAGTGACGGAAAGTGATTGACCATTCACGTTACAAAATTAATATTTAACATAATTGTCAACTTCCTACCCCTTTTCCCTTAAGAGGCGGCAATCCCTACTTTATAATTTTTGATAATTAGGTAACTGTTGTGACAGGTGGGATTGGTCTTTGTTCAGTGCCTTGCATTTGTGTCATGGAATAGAGAGCGAATTCATCTGGCTTTATCTCGAATTCGACCGAGAAAGGATGGATAATATCAGTGCCACTAACGAAACCTTCGATATATCAGGTGCCTTCACGGCAATGCGTGACTCTTCCTAGCTACACGTAGAACCTTTCATGGATTTTCAAGTGACCGAATAATGCTACAGAGAAGATGGTCATCGATTTAACGACTCCAACTGTCCTTCCTGTAACTTGTCAGTTCTCCAGCTCCTTATCTTGTTAATGAATCTAGGAGGCTATGTGATGCAGTCAGGACGTGACCTAGTCACTTCTTCATGAGCCGGAAATCTTATGAATCCGCTTTGCACAAAACTGTTGAGCAACCAACAGAAACAAGAAAAAAATCCGACTTTTTTTTAAAGACAAAACAAAAGCACTACAGGGAAATGAACCCTTGAGGTGCTTTCAGAGCGGTGCCTGTGCGAAAGTAGCAATTCAAATTGGATGCGAGTCGCTGGAGATTAAATCCATTTGGCAATCCATTTGGCAATCCAATCAGGCAGATCGATTTTTTCTCGATGGAATCCAGCAACTTCAGGGTATGTTTGGGGGTAGAGCTCCATATATGAGAACAATATTCCATACTCCAATCATCCACAGTGCTCTATACAATTTGCTGATGACACATCTTTTACTGTCAGTGGTTCGGAATGTGAAACATTGTCAGTAAGAGCAAATGATGCTATCCAACATGCAAAATTATTGTTCTAAAAATGGCTTGATTCTAAATAATCTTAAAACCAACACCATTCTCTTTACAATTCAGGAAACTGATTGTAGTGTATTGGTTAGGTCTGAGATGAAAAGTATTGGAACAGGTAAACTATAAAAAATTTTTAGGAGTTTTTATTGATTCCCAACTCAATTGGAATAATCATGTTGATTTCATACTGAAGAAATTAGCGACACACTGTTTCGTTATATGGAATCTGCGTAATTTTGTGTCTATTGAAATTCTTAAAAGTTACTATTATGCATATGTTTACTCTGCCCTCAATTACTGTATTATTTGTTTTGGCAACTGCAATAGAATCAGGACTTATTAATTTTCCAGAAAAAGATTATTAGAACAATTTGTTTTAAAAAACCACTCGATTCCTGTAAACCACTTTTTGCAAAGTTGAATATATTAACTGTTACTTGCATGTATATTCTTAATTGCGTAATCTACGTTAAATCAAATTGCTCCAAGTTTCAGAACAGAGATGATACATGTCTTCTTTCGGGCTTCACCCTGAGAAAAAACTATAACATTTTAATTCCTAGTCATAAGTTAGCCAAGGTTACTAATGGACCTCATATCATGTCAATAAAACTGTACAACAAGCTCCCAATATCCATTAAAAAAATAACTAGTGTAAAGCTCATTAAACAAAAAGTTCGGAAACTATTATGTGAAAAGGTATTTTATTCGCTTGATGAATTTTTTCAGTCTGATTTGGAATTTAAAATTTTAATTTTTGTATCCCTTTTATGATCTAAATGTTATATAGTATGTCTTATAATTATGTTGTTTTATGATTGTGACCTCATTGTAATTGTACTGAGTAATGTGACTTTTTCCATGCCTTCCCTAGGTCTACGAAAATAAAGATTTTTTGATTTTGATTTTGAAGGTTTGATCTGAGCTTTACAAAGCATCAAAAGTTGCTGAGGTGTGTAAAGTTTTCTGGTTCGGAACAGTGTTCCAAGCTTTTGAGAAGCATCCTTTGCAATTCAAACAACATAATTGTGCCAAGACATATTGGTGTCCATTTTAACTCCCCAACAAACTTATCGAGGCAGAAAGCGGAATTGTCTGACCTGACATTATTATATCTGGTTCGGAGATATTTATCCTCTTGGAGAAAACCGATGCCTGGGTTTTTGTGGCATTGAATTGAAACTGATTACTTTCACCCCAATTCGAAATCACTTCTAGATCCTTATTAAGATTTGCAACCTCCTGCTGCCGGTGAAGATATGCCTTCGTAGCCGATGGAATCCAAATGGAATGACGAGACAAGTGTGCTGTCGTCAGCAAAGCAATATATTGGATTATTTCCCACTTTCCGTGAGCAAGTCAGCAAATACTTACGCTCAGATGATAATTCCCCTAAACTAGAGGCAATAAAGACCTGCATAGCTGAGTACGATGCATCGTCTAGTACCTATAGCTGACTCATATGTGAAGGTACGATTCCAGAGAAAATAACTAAACTAACTAATAACTAAAATAAAATAACTAACGTGTGTCAAAACCAGTTGGCAAATATAGAATATATTCACCAAAGTGTATTCGAATGAGACATTGATGATGATATAGGTGAATTTAAAAAATATCTGCTGTCATCTACGGACAAACGTCTATTCAATAAAATTTCACCTTTTCAATAACCTTAGCGGTAAAATCTTGTAATCTTGCTGGTCATTCAATAGGTTACCATCAGCCAATCCACCAATTAGGTAATATTTGATTCGCGAACTGAACGTGCAAAGTGTGGTGGTGCACCATCTTGATAAGACTGAATATTGTTATTAGGTTCACCAGGAAACAATAGCCGAAAAAAGTTCAGATGCTATTTAGCATCCAGCTTTCTGTCGAAGAAATATTGGATGAATTATTTGAGTATTCATGTATCAGTACGATTCAAACGAAATGTCTAACCATAAACGACAAAATTTCTG